GCCTGACCTGAGAAATTCAGGGAGCTGGAGAAAAATCTTTTGTAAAACAGCACAACTAGAGCAGGGAGGAGAGTGCTTGTTAAGTTAGGCCTTCCTGTGGCAGAATTAAGACTGGAAAAAGGGGTTTTGCTTACTGTTGTTCCGTTCTAGGTTGAATAAAAGCACAAAAATCTCATGGTCCTGGAAATTGTCTGGAACAACTAACATGTAGAGTTTGGCACTGAAGCCTTAATAGTGGCCCTGTGCTTGCACACTGTGTGGCCAATAAGGTCAGTAGTTGATAGCAAGGACTTCAGAGCCATGGTGTTGGCAGTTAGAGTTAGTCTGACTGTCACTAATGACCCTTCTTGAATTTTTGGCATGACTAAGTGACTATTAGTGGTCATGGTAAATAGTTGATCTGAGAACCCTTCTCACAATGGAAAGAGAATGTTCAAGTATTCCCAGACTAAAACTGATTTATTACAACCATTCACTATAGCTTAATAAGCATCCTGTGATGCCCGAGTTCACTGCAGTGTGCAGTAGCTGTTGATGAAAAAGCAGAGTAACTGAAACATGCTAGCAGGATGCTACTGCTATACATTTTGAACTCTCTTAACTTGATTCACTAAGCCTCTTGATCATTTTCATCACTGCTGCAGTATTTCTGGGAAGTTCTTTTGGCTTGGTTTTACAGGTTGAACTTTTCCTTTTAAACTAACTGAACTCTTGAGTTTCAGTATTTTGAAGGACACTGTTGGCAAGAGTTGCTTGGCTTTATTCATAAACAGAGGGTTTTGCTGTTTATCACACTCTTGACAACTCTGTATTATTTGGTCCAGGAAAAAAACTGCAGAACTTCACTGCATTGGTCTTCCAGTTAGCAACAAATAACTTTGGAGTAAAATTCTTCAGCTAGTTGTGCACTGACTTTTGGGGGACTGTAGTCTAGACTATATATATGTAATTTAAGATTATTTGATGTGGGACTGACAAACTTGGTAAAATCAACTTTTGAGCTCTGGCCACCCATTAAGTTGATTAGCCTGTCAAAGATTACTTGAACTTATGTTACTTCAATGAAAGACACTATTTTTCCATCATTCTTCCAGTTGTCGGGCTTTTATGAACCTTAGTTGTCTTTTTCTTCCTTGTTAATGATGCAATTTTGGAGGATGCCAGAACTGTTAGTCTCTTCTGCAAAAGAGGAACTTTATCCAGTTGTCCATCAGTACTCTTGATGAGATGTTGAGGGTTTAAATGCAACTAACACAACTCTGATTTCAGAATTGTGTGGTTTCAGATAAAACTAAGCTTAGATTTTTTACAAGGTAGGGCAACTTTTTCTATACTATTGGTATTGACAGAGGTAAACCAAAATTCACCTTTGTGGGGAAAAAAATGTATAGCTTGGGAAGCTAGGTAGGCCGTTTTGCTCTCCTTGAGTAAGTCCTTGTTAGTTCATATAAACTACATATTAAGACTTATAGGTATAATAAGTAGCCTAGGAGAAGGAACCCTGACAAAAACTCTGTATCATGCATATGCATCAGTCATTTGTACCTATAACTTGCATTTTTTAGTCTTAATTCCCACCACATAGGATGAGTTAAGAGCAGAAATAATGGTAGGAGTATAGGGTATCTGCAGCTAACTAAAAGCAGAAACTGCCCCAATAGGTCACACTGCTGTGATAAGGAAGACTCTTGTTTATTCTTTACACTGGCAAAGATTGCTGTAGAAACTCTTTTTAAAATGTACTTGAAGGCAGGGTTGGCACTGTCTGAATCTTATGATGATAACTTGTATTTCACAGTGAAGGACAAAGATAAAGCTTCTTATGTCAGACCTGGCTATAATTTTTTTCATGTAGTTTTTAGGTTACAGTTTACCCCTGTTACAATGTAAACTGGGAAGTTTATTATTAAACTAATAGTTCCCAAGCTCTCATACAGTTTAGTTTAATACTTAATGCTTGCTATGCTGTAGGGAACTGTATTAGTTCCTGATGCATCACGTTATGCAAGTATTTCATTTAATGTTGTTGTAATTACTGGAAAACACGGTGGCAATATGTGCTGAGTCATTTATATGTGAAAACTTTGTGGTTAGAGAATGCAGAACTTGACATTGCATGCAGCACTTCCATACCCCTAAGCAAAACCTCTGATCCCTGTGACTGCCTTGTACATTAGCTCCTCACCTACACCTGAACCCCTAAAACACAGGGAAAGTATACCTTTGTGGCACCTTCAGGTGTAAGTCAAGGCACTAGACCTACCAGTGTGATTAATCTATAATATCCTTTCCATATTGTTGTAGTAAGCAAGTAGCTATCTTCCTGTCCTCTTCCTTCCATGATTATACACATTAGAATTTTTAAGTCTAGTTTCATCTGATCACTTTTTGTCTTTTTTCCCTTCTGTGGGTGTGTTCCACATTTTGCACTGCTCAACACTATTCTCATGCATGGTGGAATGTTTAGAGCAAAAACTTGCTAGACATAGGAAAGGGCATGACAAATCCCTGGTCAAACTGAGCATGGCAAAAATTGAGTCATTTAGTTTTAATAACAAATAGAGAATGATGTTGAGACTCCTAGTTGTGCAGTTTGCCTTTTCTGTATGGGTGTTTTTGCAAGAAGAGCACTTGCTAAAGCTTTGCATCAAAGTCCTGTTAAATTTACAAAAGGCTGTCTAGAATGCTCTGCATCCCTTATAAGAAGCTCAGTATGTGCATTGTGAGTAATAATAGAACTTTAAAAGTCTACTCGGTTTATACTGAATTCTCTTCCTGCCTCAGGCCATATACCTTTTACAACAACAAAACTAACTTACCTCTTAGGCAGGCCATGTGTTACTGCTTCTGTCTTCTTTCTATGAAATAGAAAGAATATATGCTTCCTCCTTAGGCCTCCAGATAGAACAGAAGAGCAGTTGTAAGCAAGTATGTGGGTCAGGCTTATTGTTAGTGGCAGTTAATTCTAGAGGTCAAAGTAGCTCTGTAATAAACTGTTTTGGAGTCTGGGCTACTGTAGGAAAGGACACTCTAGTATGCGTGCTGCCTTTGACCAATTAAAAGGCATTAATCTAACACTATAAAGGTGTTGAACTTTGCTTTTCTTAGGGCTAAGGGGCGTAAAATCCTCCTAATGTAAAACTTTAATACGATAAGATTTCACACCGATATGCACATCAGTTGTCTACTTTTATCCAAATTTAAATTACTGAACAATATGTATTAATGTTTCCAAATCTAAACCTCATAAGAGCAAAAACTGAATTTCATCATAAAACCAGCTCGAAAGAATATTTAAATAGTTCTTGACAGCTGAAGCCCACACTTTCTAAGTGACTGCTATAGAGTACAAAGTATAGTTTAGTTCAGTGCAGGCCAAAACCACCTTTTAGGCTTAAGAATCTAGCCTAGAAAGGCTTAGAGAGACCATGTGCATACAGGTTCTGTGTACACTGTTTAGGAGACACATAGTTTCAGAGATACAGGCTTGGTGCCTGGCTTGTTTGCCTTAGCGTCCATGGCATAAATGTTGCTGCAAATTTTGAACTTAGAATATGGAGGGAAGAACTTTCCTCTTGCGTGTTGCTTGTTATCACACAGAAGATAATGAGCTGGTAGTGAGGAAATTCATGTATAATTTCTACTCCTTAGAATATGCAAGCTAGTGATGCTGTTTTGTGCAGCATCATTCTGTATAGCTGAACAGACAGAAATAAAGTCAGGCTTATAATTCTCTGGAACTTCACTGCTGCTCCTTTCAGGCAATTCTAACAGCTACTTAGTCAGGCTTTTCTGAAAATGTCTATAGGGAATGAGCTAACGTGTACACTGAAATACTGAAGTTGAAATGAGGCATGCTGTTGAACAGGATTCCTTGTCAAGTTCCTTCACCTAATGAATTTCTGGCTCTGAGAAGTTAATACCCACTTCTTGTAAATGTTTGTCCTTGCTAATCAAAGGCAGACTTCAGTGTTTATAAACAGAGAACAACTATGTTTTCAATTAAAACTTGCAGTAAAATTGCATAAGCACTAAAAGCTGAAGTGATGATACACTGTAAAACTAAATTATAAAGTGCAGGGATGACCACTCCCAGTGAAGACTTCTGAACAAAGCAGAAAGCTGTTTTGGTAGCCTGAACTTTCCAAACAATGTGCTAGCACTAGTCACTGCTGTGCAGGCTCAAATACAAACAGCATGATGGTCTGACCTTCTGAACAGAGTAACAACTGAACTGGCACTCTTAATTCTACGTTTCAAGCATACTGACTACAGTAGTTGTAATTGATAAGAAAATGCTTTTTTAGTTTACTATGCTCACTAACCATTGGTTTTCTTCTGGATTTTTGTTGTGAATAAATATAGTCTATTCTGATAATCTTGTTTCGAATTCTGGGGTTGCTGTGGAGTTTCTATAGTTGGACATTATTCCAGATAGCCCAGGTTTAGCTAGAACTGTTAAACTAGCTGCTTTTGAGCTTGTCCATAAGGAAAAATATGTATTATAGGTGACTTCTTCAGAGGATGGTTTGAAGGCTGTTAGTCTTGGAGCTTGTAGAAACCTTTGTTACTCACACTTCAGAAAAAGGCTCTGAGTTGGCTTAAGTTTCTAGCTGAAGTAACTATAGAGGTATATCTAAATATTGCAGAACTTTTTGATGAAAGAATGATTTGTGTATAGCTGTACTGGTAGTGGTTTTCTTCTTTAGGCGTTACTTCTCAAAGAATACTACTCAGTAAGTTGTAAAAAAAAAAAAAAAAAAAAAAGCCAAAGTATTGGGGTTGCAAACTGCTCTTAGCATCTGACTTGTCATATGCGTAATATACTTAATAGCTGTTACAGTGAGCTTACTTAGGATAGAAGTAGCAATGTTGTTTGGACTAAGTGACTAGACACGAATCCCCAAACTTATATGTACTAACTTGGTATAGAGTCAGTTTATACTCACTACAGTTCACGCTTTAATATAAATATATTCTGTCACTGTCCTCTTTTTCAGGCCAGGAGCGCTTTGGAAATATGACCAGAGTATACTACAAAGAGGCAGTTGGTGCTTTTGTGGTCTTTGATGTTACAAGAGGGTCTACTTTTGAGGCTGTTTTAAAATGGAAGCATGATTTGGACAGTAAAGTACTACTTCCCAATGGCAGCCCCATTCCTGTTGTTCTTCTTGCAAACAAGTGTGACCAGAAGAAAGATGGCAGCCAGAATCTCACTCAAATGGACCAGTTCTGCAGAGAAGGTGGCTTTGTTGGATGGTTTGAAACATCTGCCAAGGTGAACATAAGTAAATGTTTTAACTTTAAGTGTTAGTGTAATAATGGATGAATATAATCATATAGGAAATAAAATTATCAAGTAGATCAAGTGATAGCTAAGTCTCCAGTGTTCAGGAAAAGTTGGAAGTGTTGTGCAGGCTTGTGGCATATTTGGTTTAGATTAGAACTATGTCTTAAATTCAGAAAACCTTAAAACTAACTGGAAACCTTGATTAACTGAGTTTGTTAATTTTTTTCATCTTGCATGCATCAGGATCAGAGTTTTTCTTTAGATGTTAATATTGCTGTCAAAGATAAGTAATCTTTAGATGCAGGTTTTTAAATTACAGCTTCTATCTTCACTGTTGCATTGTAGGAAGTGGTAAGACTAGAAGTGAACAATTTGCTCACTTGGTACTACCTACCTGGACAATGATGCCACTAAAGCATTTTCTGTTTTATGAAGCAGTGTCAGGGCTAAACTGGCGAAAAACAAACTGTTCTGTATAGTAACTTAGGTTAAGATAGCTGCTTTATTCAAATGGAACTGTAAGTAACTTCATATATTGTACACTTTTATTCTACACACTTGGTTAATGCACAGATGAGGTTGCAGTAGCTTAGCTGGAAATGAAATTCAACAGTTCCTTAAACCTCAATAGATTCTTAAAATGAAAGGTCTCTCTGTATGACAACAATGTGGCTGACAGACCAAATTATTGGTCTGGCTGATAACTCATTTATATGGAAAACTAAACCTCAAAATCCCTCTTTCCTTGGCTGGCCTACTTCCTTTAACTGCTGCTGATGGACTGGCACAAAATGATGCTTAGACAACTCATTAAAAGTAAAAAGTCTGGAAGAATAATGCAGGAAATAAATTAATAAGCCTCTCCTGGATCACCTTAAAATAAGGATGAAGACACAGTGACAGAATTAGTTAAATTAGCTAATCATTTGGTTGCACTTGAATAAATTATTCCCAGATTCCACACCCACCTCTTACTAAACCATCCCATTGTAAGGTTCCTAATACTCTAATACCAAGATTCTGCTTTGGGTCATACCTTCCCTGGAGCTTCACCTGTCCATAACACTGCTATGTATGAACTTCAGCATTGGTTAAAAATAAATGCAAGTAGCACAGGGACTAAACCTAATGTGGAAGCGTAGTGACAGCTTGTATTTTAGGTGGTGTTTAAGACATGACAATGTCAAACAGGGTTCTTGGTGTGGAGAAAAGTCCAGACAATATTAGTCCTAATTCAGTTATGATTTGACTTGATAGAACTCTGAAGAGGTGTAGTTAAAATAGCTTCGCAAAAAATCAGGACAGCTTTCTTGTTTTCCAAGCATCCCAAATCAGTTTATGGTTTTAAATTCCTGCCCACTTAAATATCTTGATAATCTGTTTTTGCCTTTCTGCTGGAAATGATACTTGAATCTTCAGTCTAGTCATCAGTAATACAGGTCTCACTCTCTACAGATTAGGTAGAATATTAAAGGCAAAAGAATTGCAGATGGTGTAAATATGCATGGAAATATCTTATTAACATCCTCACACCAAAATGAGGAAAGTCATCCTCCTCTCTGAGAACAGAAAGGCATCTGTCTGCAAACTGCCAGAAAACGGTTTGTGGCTGACAGCCACAAGCTTGTGAAGTGCAGTAGTAACATGTCAAATGTTCTCATGATCAAGCCTTGCTCATGTAGAGTCTGTAAAGAGAAGAGTGTTCTGGGGTGGTGTTTTGTTTGTAACTGAAGCAATTCCAAACATGGTAGCCCTGTAGTGAGCCCTGGTGGCCCAGCCACATCAAAGCTGTGGCCAAAGGCCCCTTGGCACTGGCTAGCTTGGCCTCTCAGTAACTGAGATACCTAGTGATGTATTTAGTAGGGCTATCCTGCATGCACTCTAAAGAAAAGTGTATATTGTGAAGGTACTGTGCAAAACATGCACGTGGCTAGAAGAAGCATGCTGATTTAGCAGGGATTTTGAGGTGGATAAAGTCCTTTTACATAAATAAGTGCATCCAAACTGCAGTAGAAGCAGAAAAAGGCCCCAAAAGGTTGAACGCTACTATGAACAGTCTAATTGTCTATTATCTTTCCTAATGCAGAAATGCATTTTGACATTTTGAGTCTTATAAATGCAGGTGACAGTTATCCCTGATTGCCTGTTGAATTAGACTTGAAGTGTCCTATTAATAATATGGGTGAATAACTTTGTCTCAAACCTTTTGGTGATGTTTTTCAAAAAGCAAGTGTATGAGCAGTGACCTGATGCATCTAAGCTGTTTCTGTCATGCTGATGAGACTATAGAAGAGTTTTTATATTTGGCCAGCTTCTAATAGAAATGTGTCACTATTTCAAAAAAAATCACTTGTTTGCTTTCAACATTTTTAGGACAACATCAACATAGATGAAGCTGCTCGATTCTTGGTGGAAAACATCCTTACCAACTACAAAACCTTTCCTAATGAAGAGAATGATGTGGGGAAACCAAAACTGGACCTAGACCCATTGAAAGCAGAGAGTAAATCACAGTGCTGCTAATGATACCACTGTTCAGGAAATGTGATGGGACAAGCAGCAAGACTGTTCCTTAAATCACACTGCTGCTATGGTGCTGCATTGTGACAATTCATATGGGCTGTCTGGTATTATCTAAATAGGTGATTCTTGTGGGTGTTTACATATTCTTGTTTTGCATGAAACTGTATCTTGGGAGTTATCACTCCACTTGCTTGAGTGGCTAAATTTAAATCTTACTGATGTCTTCTTACCTGAGAAAATAAGGTAGTGTTTACACTCCTAAAAAGGAACAAAGACAACATTCTGTGTCTAGTTTCCTTCTAGGATGTATGCTACGTTCCAAATAGGACTCACTTGTCATGGTTTTAGCCGAACAGGTATTTGCACCTTTAAAGTAAACTTTTCCTTTCTCACCAGTAATATCCCACTTTAGCCTTCTTACCTACACATATGTCCCTATTTATTATCCCCCTCCATGAGAATCTGTCTCATTGCTAGTTCTCCTGGATTGAGACATCCCAGAAATATTGAAGGGGCCAATGACAGATGGGAGGTATGTTAGTGTGTTCACTAGGACTGAGTGAAGTAGATGGCTTTTACCACCGAGTAAGAACATGATCTGTAACTGATGGTATTTAACAAGGGAAGGGCATGGTTACAGAGATACTAACAAAAATACATGTCTGGCAATTTAAGGCAGAATATTTTCACCTAATACTTTACATATGAAACACATTAATGGATACAGTTGAATTTTTGGCACATAGTTATGGTAACCCCACCTATATGCACATCCAGAAATAAACATCCAGTAACTTTTCATGCATTAACACTGGAAGCTTTACCAAGAGTGCAAAAAGTAAGTATCTTACTGTTCTGTGATAATGAACTTGCTGCTTTTTCCTTTGTCTTTGTAGTTCTGAATACAATGAGAAAGGAGAGAGGTCTTGAAGGAAATAGCTTAACTGGTTCTTGCTAGCCTATCAAACCTTTTCCCCCATGCCACAAGCTCTTTTTCAATTTTAGAACAGTGCTGCACTCTTCTGACTAGTTGGAGCTGGTGAACTGGTTTACCAGTTTGTAACTCTGTATACTGAGATGCTTCTGTTTCCCTGTTATAACTAATGTATTTTTAGCAGCAAATGAAGATCAAAAGGATTAGAGAGATTTCACAGTTCTTAAATACATTCTGGAATTCAGGCTCTACATGGCTGAAAGGCTTTGGAACTCCCCTTTATTTTGAGGGTTTCTACTGTCCTGGTACCTCATTGCTACTGACTTCAGAAGTCTTATCTTGCTTGGTCTGATGATGCTGATGTTTTCTTAAACATCAGCATGAAGTATGTGCCAGATTGGGTATACTTTAATCTGTGCTGAGATTTCTTAGACTGTCATCTTTTTTTTTTTTTTCTAAAGAGTAATGTAGTTTTTAAGAGAAAAATAAATATATTTGGGCATCTTAGGGATGTCATTGTTTGCTTTTGAAAACATGAATCTTCAGCCTATACACAAATGCTTTCATTCACATTTGGAAACAACTTTGTCTTCTAGTAGTTTGTATGCAAAAGGCTTATCTTAAAATGCCAAGCCTTACTGTAGTAAAAGCTGAAACTGGGTTTAATTAGCTTAGGATCATCAGATAATTCAGATAAGCTTTAATAGATAGCTAGTCTGCCTTTGTGCTACAGAGTGTTTTTGCTCCTGTTCCTTGGAGGGGGCGTTAGGGTTTGAGACTGGGATGGATCAGGAAATCTGATACAACCAGAAAAGTGCATACTATAAGACAAGACTGGTACTTTAGCCTGAGGAAGGGGATGGGAGCATCTACCTGGTAGAAGAGACCAAGACTGTAGTTTATGGAAAAGTGCTTAAGTCAGACTAGTCATGAAGCCCTTGCCTAATTAACTGAAAAACTTTGATTTGCAAAGATATGTGGAAGTTTAGACAGATCCAATGTAACTTCAGGCTAGTAAGTGAGCAAAAAGTGTCAAATGTCATTTGTTTTACATGTACAGGATATACATATAAAGTGATAGTTCATATCAATCAGATGAACAGAGGCCCCATGCTGTTTTATTTCATTATCTCTTGCAGTCTGAAATATGCCAATCTTAAATGAGCAAGTACCTGACTTCCTAGTCCCTATGTTTAAAGGACATTTTTGAGATGGAAAAATTTGAGTAAAAATGTGAATTGGTGCTTCAAGGAAGTGTTTTCCATGGCACGTTTCTATCAACTGATTTCATAAAGACTGAAGATGGCATATAGTCTTCCTGGATTGTAGTTGTGCAGTACATCTGTGCAGCTAATGCAGAGTCAGCCTCTATTAATTTTAAAAGCTTAATGAGGCATTACAATTGCTGAGAAAACTAGAAAGGAGTTAGAGCAATTAGTGGTCTTTCAGTATGGGATTTTCTAGTTGTATCTTAACTGCAGTAGTAGGAAAAATAAGCTATTAAAAGCTTCAGTTTTGTTTGTTTAAAATTTGTGTCAGACCTGTTGAGTTGCAATAGTGTTCAGTCTCCTTAAACTGAACAAATCCTTATTCATCTGTAGTGGCTAATCGCTGGGGAATAGTTTGAGTCATTCTTACAGACTCAGGGCCTGAGTAACCATTTGATATATGGAGATATGAGGAAATAGTTGTAAAAGAAATATGTGCTGTATAACTATGATATTGAATGGTGAAACATTTTGCTCTTAAAAACCGTTGCTCCCTTATCTTTCTGTTCTTAACATCTTGCTAGTGACCTTGGTTCCACAACAGAGAACTGGCCCCTTTTCTCCCACTACAGATCATGTTATTTGGTAAAGACACACAGTTCTAAGTGTGTGCATGCCTTTGTCCTTCACATTATGAATTGCTAAAGAATTTAAGAAGTGGGGGCAGCAGTCTACTTTGAGGAGTATAAAAAATATATTAACAAAATGCCAGTGAGATAAATAATTCAGAATTGAAATACATCATTCACTTGGCAGTGCGCGAAAGGTCACTTCAGTTTTGTTCTACAGCACAATAATATTGTAAATAAGGAACATAATAGATTCAGCTCTAACTATGTAATGAAGATTATTTGAAAGAAATTGTGCCTGTATTTTTCATGACCATCATAAAGCTTTGTTTGTGAGCTCATTTGTCTGTTTCAATTTGTGTTTAAACAGGAAAAAAATACTACAGTAGTGTTTCTGGTGAAAATTCCTAGCTTAGACTTCCTATGTTGCTTACATTCTCATGATAAATTCTGCTAGATGGTTATTTTATCATTTCAGTTGGTGTACATACAAAATGGTTCCTGCCCCAAGTACCTTAAAAACTTCCTTTGTTTAGGTAGAGATGGTGTTTCAGGTAGCTTTGGCTTGGGAAGTGTGAAAGTAGAGGGCCAGCATCTCAATATTGGTTCCTTCATCCTTCTGCAAAGATAATATCACTGGGTAAATCATAATTTGGTTTGAACTCTAAATGAAATTAAAATATACGAGATTCCTGGCCTTGTAACTTGAAATTAAAATACGCAGGATTCATGGCCTTATTGCCCTTAAATTATAACTGGGACTAAAAGGTAGCTGCTACCTGTCATATGGCCTTTTAATGTTAAGGGATTCTTATCTTCTATGAGTTCTAGAAAATGAAATAAAGTGCTGCCCCCCCCCCCCCCCCCCCCCCCCCGCCTTCATTTTGGAATTTTTAACCTATTATCATGACCCTGCTGAAAGCTCGAGTTATAGTTATCAGTCTTGTTGGAAAGCTCACAGCTCCTTAAATGTTAAAGATAGCATGGGAATTCTGCCAACTCCATTTCTGAACTCCTCTGCTCTTTACTTGTATGTATCAAAAGCAATATTTAGTATCCATCTAGAATAATAGCCTTTCAGCCTCTCACATTCAGATGGGTTTGGGTTTTAACTTATTTTTGATAAAAATTATGAATTTATATGAACATTGAAATGTTCAACATTGAAATTGTTGTATTGTGCACAACGATTACTTCCAGGTTTTTTTGCTGGACAGCATCTGGCTCGTTGAAGTGTTGATCCTTCTATGCATATATGTACAGTCTATACTGGGCTTGCATGACAAGGTTTTGATTGCAGGGGGCTACAGGGATGGCTTCTGTGAGAAGCTGTTAGAATCTTCCTCTGTGTCTGACAGAGCCAACGCCAGCCAGCTCCAAGACAGACCCACCACTGGCCAAGGCCGAGCCCATCAGCAATGGTGGTAACACCTCTGGGACAACATCTTTAAAAAGGGAAAAAAGTTACTGCAGAACAGCAATTTCAGTGGGAGAGAGGAGTGAGAATATGAGAGAGCAATGACTTTGCAGACACCAAGGTCAGTGAAGGAGGGGATGAGGTCTTCCAGGTGCTAGGGAAGAGATTCCACTGCAGCCTATGGAGGTCCATGGTGGAGCAGATACTGACCTGCAGCCTGTGATGGACCTCATGCTGGAGCAGGGGGATGCCCAAAGGAGACTACGACCCTGTAGGAAGCTCTTGCTGGAGCAGGTTTGCTGGCAGAACTTGAGACCCCATGGGGGATCCCCGCTAGAGCCATCTGTTCCTGAAAGATCGCACCCATGGCAGGGACCCATGCTGGAGCAGTTTGTGAAGATCTGCAGCTCATAGGAAGGACTCACATTGGAGAAATCTGTGGAGGATTGTGTCCCATTTGAGGGACCGTGTGCTGGAGAAGGGGAAGAGTGTGAAGAGTCCTCCTGCTGAGAAGGAAGGAGTATCAGAAACAACGTGATGAACTGATTTTAACCCCTGTTCCCTGTCCCCCTGTACCCTGAGGGGGAGGAGGTAGAGAAAATTGGGAGTAAAGTTGAAGGTGGAAAGAAGGGGAGGGGTGGGGGAAGGTGTTTTTACAGTTTGGTTTTATTTCTCATTACCCTACTCTGACTAGAAATAAATTAATTTCACAAAGTTGCATCTGTTGCCTGTGATGGTGATTGGTCAGTGATCTTTCCTTGTCCTTATCTCTACCCATAAACCTTTCATTGTATTTTCTGTCCCCTGTCCAGCTGAGGAGGGCAGGGAGAGAGCGGCTTTAGTGGGTACCTGTCATCCAGCTAGGGGAAACCCACCATACAGGCAAACTATTTTGCTTGAAACTTCAACAATTGTTGGTTTTGACTGGGCTTCATCTTAAGGTACCCAAAATCACTGCCTTCCAATACTTAGTAGTTTAAGGAACAAGGGCTTTCAGTCAGATTGTCCATTGGGATGCTATTTTTTTCTGGATTATTGCTATAAACACAATTAGATAAGACTTATTATAGCTCAAATGGGTATGATAGCACTTGTGTCGTACATACGATGGCACATGTCTCAATGATTTCTGTAATTTTTGTGTTTCAGAAGTTAGAAAATGTAAACTGAGTTGCCTTTTTTAGTATTATTATTTAGCAAAGATTCATTTTACTTGATAGACTGGAAAAATACATTTAAAGATGTCTTACAGGTATACCCATTTTTGATATTGTTCCTGACTTGCAGAATGTTAATCACATATTACAAAATATTTATCTAGCAACTGCTAGATATTTTGCATTTTTAAAATAGTATAATTTTTTGCTTTTAGCCTATATGCACAACTGCAAATTCACTTAAAGTGTACCAAAGTTACTGTTAAAAAGGATTTGCTATGATCTGCAGCACACCTTAACTTATAAGACAACTTTTTAAATCTCCTGGGGGGGGGGGAGGAGAAAAAGTTACATCCTTAAATTGTAAATAAAAAAGTACTAATGTAAAATGGTGCAGTAAGAGATTTAATAAGCTCTACAGTTCAGTAGTTACCACTGCATTAAGACTGTGTATTCTCTTTTTAAAAACAGAAATATCCTTCCATCCCTCAGGCTATAATCATCACATCATTTAACCAAAGATTTCAAAGATTTTGGATGGGTTTGTTTTGGTTTTTTTTGTTTTTGTTTTTTTTTTGAAGGTAATACTGCTTCTGCTGTCAGTATCCCCATTTTCATAAGTTCCAGTAGTTAGAGTACCACAGTTGCCCTTAACTCCAAACTTCAGATAGGGATTTTGAACGGTATCAAAACCAGGGAGTCTTGCATTTTGACATAGGAAGATATTCTTGCTGTAAGTCATCAAATGTAAATTTACAAAAGAAAGGTAATAGTGCTGGCCAGTTCTCTTTATTTTCCCCTGCTGCCTGCTCTGGCTGCCTACATTCTTTTCCCCAGTATTTAAGTGACGAGGTGATCAAGATTGCAGTGGTCCTGAGTTTATGAAAACCCTGGCTAAAAGTTAGGTGTGTGCATTGAGGGGTCCCACAGGGTTCAATGGTACTGCTGTATTTAAATTGGGCTTGGGCAGGTGCTGACTATTTTACCAAATATTTAAGGGTTGTCTTCACCCCAGAAAGAGATTCTATAATGTCAGTGTGATCAAAAGCTGATCCAGCAATGGAAATGGTAATTTAGCTGGGCGTCTTCAGGATCCTTTCTAGCACCATGTCAAATTCAGAGGAAGCTGGAGTGCCAGAAAAAATATGCCCCTGGTAAGATCAGATGAGACACAGAACCATAAGACTTTTTTGAAATAGCAGTGGGCAGGAGGTCCTGTGCTTAGGAGAAGTCTGTTATGTAGTTGGTTGCAATTTTCTACTTGTACCTTGTCTTACTCCCATCAGTTTACCCAAGGTACTTGTAAATTCCATTTCCCCACTTCACTTATTAACCTCAGGCTAACTTAAGAATTAACAGAATAGAACTGTTTCTGGATAGTTTCAGCCTGTCTGAAGATGGTTTTGCTCAAGTTCAGTTCCCTGCCCTATGCCACCTCAGCAGCTGGCTGTTCTTAACTGTGCGTGCAGGCTGCTCCTCCAAAGCTCTATCACAAACTGAAGGGTTTCCTTTTTCTCAGGCTTTGCCAATCTCCATTTTTCTTTACTGTCTGCTGTTCCTGAAATACCCACCCACCGTTTTCCTCCCTCATTCACAATTTCCCACAGACCTGTACCTTCCTTATCTCACTCCCACCTATTCTTTCATTTAGTAAATAAACAGAAGAGTAGTGGAAGTAAGAGCAGAAGAAAATCCATTCTACTTTCATCTCCTGTTTAACTTTGCTGTAGCCTCATGCTTGAAGATACAGTATTTGTTCTTACAGAAGTTTCTATGTTTAACTTTCACCCCTTTTTTTCATGGAAAACTTGCAGATGCACAGAATGGGTAAGCTTGGAAGGGGCCTTGAGAGCAGTCCTGCATATAGTCCTCATGTAGTCCTACAGCCCTGTTCAGAGCTTGAGCAAGTTACTCATGCCCATGTTGTTTGAGGAAGACTCTACGGTCTGTTAGGAAACCTGTTCCAGTGTTGGACCTCACTGTAGTAAAGGAAATATAAAATCCTATTTTTAAGAGGAATTTCCTGTATTTCAATGTTCACGTTGTCTCTAATACTACCACTGAGCACTTCTCAGAAGAATCTGAGTGTCCTTAGCCTCCCTGTCAGGTATTTCTGCACATGGGGATTTGCACCTCTACCACACTCCAGGCCTTCTCTTAAGGCAAAATCTTTCTCCTGTCTTGTTCCGGAATCCTTTTACCCTCTGTAAAATCAGAGTTAAGTCTGAGCTCCAAGACTCCTGAGAGGGGCTTTTGTAGTGTTTCGGTTCATAGGATTTTCTCCTCTCTCCAACTAGTATTTATAGCTATAAAAAAGTGCAAAATATTTGGGACTGAACAGCCTTACAGGACAAGACTGTTTTCCTGTAAGTGACTTGTGTGAGCTATAGCAGTTAATGATGTGGTGATTTAAGAGTGAAAAAAAAAAAAAAAATACAGTGTTTTGAATGGTGTCTTAGAAGAACAGTGACTAGAATACCACCCATCCATCATTCACCAGTACCTGTTATCTCAGTATTTGCTTAGCTACATCTCAATGGGTTCCTAACATAGACCATTTTTGTTTTATTGTCTTTTGTATTTATTTCACATTTACCAACTGTGAGGCTGCCTCTGCCCTAGCAACTTTTCCCTTCAGGGGGTGTCTGTCAGATGTATTTCATGGCTTGTGACATGAGGCCAGTCAAGCAGCTGATCTGACCAAACAGTTTCTTTGCCAGTTAGGAGACTAGCTTTTTTAAAACTTCTTTTTCCAAACAAGTTGCAG